TACCCCTTTTAAAAACAAAACCAAAAAAAGAACCCGGAAAAGTGAAGAAGAAAAAAAGATGTAGAGTGAGACTGATCTCTGGTTGTATTCATCCTAGAATAGTGGCTGATCTCTGTACAGTATAGTGAAATACTCAATAGAACAGAACTTGGCCTAAATCAACCATTCAATATCTTTTACTTACAACTGTGACAGACCTACATGTTTATAAAGTTTGTGATTTTATGAGGTGGTAATATGTGGTTCCATAACACACATCACTAAGACAACTAAGGTAAAGCAAAGCATTTTATTGCAAGTATTAGTCAAAGATGCACTTCAAACTGAAGCAAAGCAACACTAAAAGGGCCAACAACCTATAAGAGAGAGTTACAAAAGAAAGAGACATTTAAAACTGAAAGGAATAGAGCTGTTGGTACAACAGAGCCTTTGCAAAAGAACACAGAGACTGAGACATGGATCATCTGGTGGTGAAGGTTCACTGTTCAATGTACACATCCGTTTGCTGGTGCCTCAACTCAGAGGTATCAGAGCCCAAGATCTTTCGACTGAAATAAGACTGACACAGGAGCGATGCTACATTGACAATATGAATATTTGAACAATCAAAGAGTACGCAAAGTGTTTTCAAATCCTTGGCCGCTGTCGAATATCTGTCTCCAAAAACCATTGTGTGAATACAAGAAACGGCATCAGGAGCCTAATCTCTTCTGCAATATTTGGTTTGAGGTCGTTTGGAATGCAAATGACATGAAAAACAGGTTAAACGTCTGATAGCCATGGGAGTAAACATTATGGTAAACATGTATTAAACCAAAAACAAAAGCTGATTTGGTTTAACAGGACAGAGGGCCTACTGGCTTTGGAACAGGATTGACAACACTCAAAAGGTCCATGTCTCTGATCCTCTGATGGGGTGAGGGACAACCAACAGAAATGTTTTAAAAAAGGAAGAAAAAAAAAACAATAATTCATCACAACACAGTTCATCCTTGGTTCATTATACAGGCACAGGTCTCTGAAATCCAGCACGCTGGGGAACCTCCTGGTTCTCGCCGGGCCCGGGTCAAAAAGCATCTGAAAATATCTGCTCTTTGGATATGCCGTCACTGACAACACGATGATAACCAATGAACTTATACGAAACACAGGGAAGTGTGTAAAAGTCAAATTAGCATATTGAGAATTTTTAACGATGATATCTGCGTTGTCCTGAGGCAGCGGGCGACTGCTCATCCTGGAACAAAAAAACAAATGCCATGTTTCCAAATACCGTTTGACCCGGACCCGGTTTCTGTTCTGACATCAGTACAAATGAGACGGAGCAATTTTCAAAAGCTTACACTTCGTTTCGTACATCAGAGTTCACTAAGTTCTGTTAGTGGTTTACATGAGAAGTGAGAAGAGATGAGGATGCCGGTTGGGGAATCAGGCAGATCAAGTACGTAGGCTAGTTTTGTTTTTTTTCTTCTTGGTAGGCCACCCAACACCAGGCATTGCAAAAAAGTCACATAGATTTCTGACAACTATGTAAGAACGCACTTAAGGCTGAGGCATGTCTTCTCTTATTGGAATGAGACCTGTTCCTGCTGTAAAATACTCTGGCACAAGAAAAAAAAAAACCTTGACAGGAGACAATCAGAAGAAAGAAGCAACGCCTACACACTAAAAATTTTTCACCGTAATCCAAAGAATTTTTGCCTTTCCAACATCTTTTCTTCGTTTCCCCTGCCGTTCTTCTCTAAATGTTATTTTATTTTACACTCTTCCACTTTGCCCTTTACTGGCTCGGGGAATTGACATGGCTAACGTACCAATTAGCAGCTCGGGATGAAAAGTCAGCTATTCGACACTCAAGTCAGTGTGGTTCAGAAATGGTTCCCTTCGTCAAGAGATGAGCGGCAACATGTGGGGGTTGGCGTTTTGGCCTTCTCGGGTGGCGAAAGAAGAGTGGAGGCTAAAGAATAGGGAAAAAGGAGGCGGGAAGAGTTGACCTGTAGATATGAACCTGACACGCAGCTCTCGTCACAAGTCAAATCCGCCTCCTCCCTTCCCTCCACCTCGCACCCCCCTCCATATTGTTGTGCTTGCGTGTCTCGGAGAATAAGGCGTCAACATGGAGGGGGAGGGGCTTAAAAACAACAAAAAAAAAGGCCTCTTCCTCCTGGCTCCGCCCCCACCATGCTGCAAAAAAAAAAAAAAATGATGCGGAGACTCCAGCCGCTTTAAACGCACTCTCAATAAATACACCATAAAATATTCCGCATATATATATTTCATATATATATTTAAAGAACAACACATTTAAATAGGACAACAAAATAAAAGTCGGCTCAAGAACAATTTTTCAAAGTCGGATAAGTGTTAAGACAAAACAGAATAATTTTTTTTTTTTTTTAACAGTTATACTTAATTTTTTTTTTTTTGACTCTAAAATAGTTACTGTATAAGAATATCGCAATCAGGCATTACTCAAGCATTATATGTCATAATAAAAGCAATCTGCAGTTTTCTTTCATGTAGTATAACATATGCAGCATACCAAGGTAAGTGAGGTGCAGTGTTTTTGTTTTTTTTTTTTGTTGAGATTTCTTGTAATAGAAAGATTTCACCCCCTGGACTGAAAAGGTACCCACAGAACTACAGACACATCCTCGGTATTTTTTTGTCGACACCCTACCGGCTTCTAAACAAGGATACTGCTGGGCACGCATTCCCTCCATCAGGGACAAGACACATGGCAGGGCATTGCACTAGGATGAAAGAATGCCATGAGCTGCTACTAGGGCTGGGCATCACCGTGAGAAAAAAGTCTGAATACTGACACTGGCTCTGTTTTATTTCTGTACCTGGCTGTAAAAATGAATGAAAGCGTACTTCACCGTGCAACAGATTCAAAGTCTGTTCTGCCGTTCTTTTGCTTTGCTTAGTGGAAAAAAAACTAAAACTAAATGCCATTTTTGTTATTATTCCTCAGTGCAAAAATCTACTATTGTAAAAAGTTCCGGGCTGCATTTTATTTCTTAAAACTTGCATTTTTGGATGCCAAAAAAAACCAAAAAATAAATGTGGAAGGATGAGTTGACACCCAGCCCTAGCTGTAACAAAGTGTCAAGTGGCAGTTCCAGAGAGAAGACCGCCACCCGAGAGCAGACCGGCTCCACCGAGCCAACAACAAAGTCACGAGAGCATGAGGCACACTTTTAATGACCGACTGCTTTGTTTGGTAACACACATCCCTTCGATTCCTCGTTTACGCTGAGGCTTTGGATCCTCTCCTCCTCCTCCTCCTCCTCCTCCTCCTCCTCCTCCTCCCTCCCTCGAGGACGGAGAGGACTGGAGGGACAGAGATTGAAACCTCTTGGCTATGTGTCTGAGTGAGAGTGGCAGTCTCTAAAGTGCTGTGCTATGTTTGTCATTCGTGGGCTGGGCTGTGTCGCACCACGCTAGTGTCAGCTATGACCCCCCCAAACCACCCCATCCCCGACCCCATCCCACCCCGCCAACCCACCCAAATGCACATTCCACTGTACCAACAACACCATTGGTCCAAGACACTAAATGCACTAGGAAGCAAGAGCTCAACCACAACCATATACTTGGCATAATATTCTATTTCTATGTAGGCGTAATGTCTAAATACATGAAACACAAGTTTGCATTGCCGTCTCTAAAAAACAAACATGTAAAGTGTGTGTGTGTGTGTGCATGTGTGTGTGTGTGTGTGTAAAATGCAGCTATTCCTGCATGTGTTTTTGAAAAGGAGATTCTATTTCTTTGATTTTACATTTTATCTTTCAATTGACAGCACCATCAAGAGGAAAGGCACTTTCTGTGGACTTTTTCTCGCTCCATTGCTACTTTCCACCGCAAATAGAGACCAACCAAAAAATCAGGGAGGTTGATCGATTACTCAGAATGGAGACACTGACCTTTTTGGAGTTGATTAATTCTTCACAAGACGGTGGGGGTCAGATTTTAGATAGTTTTCTTTCACATCAGCGTTCACAAACCTAATTGAGAGCTGAAGGAACACAGCTACCCGCAAAGCTTAGCGTACCTTTCAATCTAAAATTAATCAGGGATTGCAAACGAGAGCGTCCCCCCCGTTACGCAACACAAACGCCTGTTGAGGAATAATTGGCCGAATAAATATTGTCTTGGTATCCCGTCGAGTGTTCACTTCCGCAGGCCCCAAAAATGGTCTTTGCTCACGTTGGGTCACTTCTCTACGAGCTAATATTTGCAAAGCAGAGCTGATGACATTTCAAATGTAAGCGAGGCAAACACATCTGCTATGTAAACATGTGTTCAACTGCCCTCAGGGGTGGAGTTTACATACAAAACCTGTACACGGATTACAGACAGCAGAGATATAGTGAGTCAATCATCCTCCCCACCCCGTCAAACAACTTCCAACATAACCCGCCGCCTCATGTTTTCATTCATCAGCTTTGATTCCTTCCACAAAAAAAAAAAAAAACACCACGCACGCGCAAACATACTTGAATGAACCCCACTACATCCCACTATGTCGTCCTTCAGTTCTAACCTTCCTTACGGCTCCCAGGGGGATTGGATGAGATTGTACGGCCATGGAATGTAGTCCTCTGGCACAGGGGAGTAAATGTTTGGGAGCAAAAGAGAGCAAAAATAAGATTACAGGCTTTGTCACACCACAGATTTACCGAGAGGCCGACTCTTTGTATTTGTGTGCACATAAAGTGGCTCGAATAAGGAGACCCAGTCTGAGGAAAGCAACAGAGGTCGCAATCCGACGTAAATCCCCCGAGGCTTTAAACACAAAGGAATGGAGAACTACTACCCCCTTGTTACGTTATTCTTTGATCACACATGACTTTGAAATGATTCACCGAGACTTTCAAAAAACCACTTGCCCGTTTTCTTTTCACTCTCCCCTCTTGATAAGGAGCAGGCATCAGCACCAGTTGTAGGAAACCCGAGAACATTCAAGAGCAGAAGCTCAATACATCAACCGACTCTTCTCCTATTCTGCCGTCGCCACAATAGGCTCGTGACGTCCCAACACAAAGGCTCTCAGAGTACAGTATGTTAATCTTTTGTCTCCTCACAGACGAACCTCCAATTGTATGAACATCTACGAATAAAGAAATAAGCATTCAGCATCTCGCGAGTTTTTTTTTTTTTTCTTTTCCAAACATCGAAGCAAGAGGTGGTTTGAGTCCACGTCCCTATCAATAACAGTATGACAGTCCAAACACACATCACTAGTTTTCAACAAGCCCACCACTGTTCACACATACACTATACGTTATACAGTGACACAGGAACAAGTCAACAGTCTATTGCAATAATAAAACTTTGTTATACCTTTTTAACCGTTACTTATCATGATACATTTATTACTAAGATTAATAATTAGACTACTTTTGTTTTTTTTTTTCTGTTAGCAAAAATAAGTGGTGTGTGCATTACATAATTTAAAATGTACAAATATACTTTCTGATCTGGCTTTTTTTTTTCTAAAAAAAAGGCTTTCAGATACTAGTGAAATCATGAAGGCTCAAACCCACTGGCTTCCACACTGGAAGGCTAGCCCGTGAAAGGCAGTCAAATGCGACAGCGGAGGCAGGACCCTACATTAATACCTCGCCGTCCGAGGCAACGTCCGCCATTGTACCATCAACGCCAATCCAACCCGAATGAAATCGTAAAACCTGTACCTCCCTTCACCGACCACAGCAGTGGATCCGTCTCCTGTCCTTCAGAGAGTGAGGTTAACTGTTTGTTTTTTCCTACCATACCCATCTGCTCATACACAGTCTCATGCAGAGGTTCAGCTTCAAATTCTAATTCAGACAAGAGTAGCACCACGCTTGTGTTCAGTCCCCGAAACACATGCTTCTTTTAGTGCAGATAACTTTTTTAAAAACACCCCCCTCCCTCCCTCCCCCACGAACAAGCTTCAGGCCTTCAGCGGATGAGAGGAGCTACATGGTGACCGTAATCCACAATTCACATCAACAGTCAGCTGTACTTCTGTAGCAATTCTTGGTCATCCACTCGACTCCTCGACTTTGTTCTGAAGCCAGTCCCGACTTTGGGCCAGTCACGTGGGCAGGAGCTAAACTTGTCCTCGGGTTAAGGATTTCTACTGAAAGGAAAAAATGTTGTTGAAAACATTAGTTTACGACAAGTCTAAGTCCGTGCCCAGGAACCTGGCCCGTGAGTTACAAACACACTGTAGCAGCTGGATCCACGTCTGGTGAATATTAAGCAAAAAAGACAACTTCGGCCCGCTTTGCTTGAATGCTGCTCCGAAGCAAAGCCAACAGCTAACACTGCTGTATAGGCAAATACAATAAATATATTGATCTTAGGTTGATTTGAATGAGATGTATAGAAAAGTCAGTAGACGGTTGTTGAGAGAGAATAAGAGGCATCGGGTGAAACTTTCTTGCTTCAAACTATCTTATGCTGTCCATTCGTTGGAATATGCTTTTTGATCATTCTACCCCGCTGAAATAAGATCCCTACGACAAGTCGCGCAGCTTTCGACCATTATATACTTAACCTCCACCAGGCACTTGAATACTACCTCTTTATGGCCTTTATACTCCGCTTTGCTGCAGTCAGGTGAAAAACTTTGTTATTCTTAGGAATTAAGAAAAATCAACCTCTTTTAGCATTACTCTGAAATCATGCCCGTTGATCAAAAAGTATTCTCAAACCACAGAGGCGCATAAAATCCTTCAGTTCAAGTAAAAACAAGAAAATCACCAAAACTGCAGTTGCACCATTTTTGCCCAACAGCAAGGGCAAAACTCAGAAAACACGCCGATCAGTCGACTCACGGAGGAGCGAACACATGAGAGGGTCTCGCGAAACGTTTCTCCGCGCTTTCGAATGAAATGTTCTAACTGTACTTTCGAGTCGTTTAAGTCCCCTAAAAATCCTCTTCCCTTCGTTCAGCTGATTATTGCACTAGAGGAAACCATCGACGTAATCTCTTATTTACCCACCATCTCGAGCTCAAGAGGGAAATGCAAAATAAAGCACTGAGAGGAAATGAATGCACGACAGTTACTAAGATTAAAAAAAACAAAAGCTTACATGATTAAGTAAGTCTGAAAAAGTTAGAATCAGAAAATGTTTTTGACATAATATAGAAGAAACCGTAACAACCAGAATCAAACAACAGTGTTATACTTTAAATAAAATCCATAGATGGCTGCAATTCAGCAATTGATATATCAGCCAATAGAAACTGCCCCTTTGTTCAAATGTGACAGCTGACTGTTAGAAATAAATCAAAACTGATCTGAAGTCTTACACGACAACAATTACATGTTGTGACTTTTAGGGGGCATTTATACCTCGTCGCCAACAGGTGGCAGTGTGCTCAAAAGAACATGTAGCTCCATACAAGTAAGTGGTGATATCACACACCAGGGGGAAAGTGACAGAACAGGAGAGGAAACAAGAGGGGGAAATAAAAGTGGCAACTGGGAGGACCCTCTAGTCCGTGAAACTAGAATCTAAAACAAAACCCTCCTGGTAACTCCAGACTCTTGGGAGTTTCATTGGGGTGGAGAATCAACGACAAACTACAGTAAAACTGACAGAATGTAAAAGTGCTGCTGCTCAAACTGACTTGAGGTACTGGAGATGGCAAAGGAGCAGATTAATAGACGATTACGAAAGACTGTGCCAAAGGAAAAGTAAAAAGAAAGAAAGAAACAAAAAAAAAACACCCACTAGGTCACGAGTAAAGAAGACAAAACAGGGAAGAACAGATAGGAGGGGCGATGAAAAGGGGGCCTGATAAGGGTGAAAATAAACTAGTTGGCTGGTTTAATATTGCATAATAGTGCTGAGTTTCTCTCTTGTTTGTTTTTAAAGCAGCGTTTGCATCCTCAAGTCCAGTGTGGGGGTGCCTCCTCCCCTCCCTCCTCCCTGCTTTCCTCTGCACAGTGTCAGGTCCGGATTGACTAGGCATGGGGGGGGGCGGGTAGGGGGGGTTGGGACTTGCACCTATGAGGACTCCTTGACTGGCAAGCCAGGCGTGCATGGTTGTGTCTGTGTGTTTTTATGTGTGTGTTAAGGGTGGCAATGGTTGGGGAGGGTGGGTGGAGCTCAGGCGAAGTACATGGTCCTCAGGGTGTCATGGTGGATCTGAACAGCTTTGGCCAGCGCCTGGGGGTCCCGACCGTTACTCTGACCAGACACATGGCTGCCCTCAGCGCTGCGGAAGAAAGACGACAGGACCGGTTACGAAAAAAAAAAAAGTTCAATAACAACGGCAAGCATGCAAAAGAAAAAGCTGTAAGTAAAACAAGAAAAGTGTCTTAACCTTTACATCCACATTTAAAAAAAACAAGAAATATCTTTGGACTCTTCTCACCTGTCGTGTTCTTTGTCCACCAGATGGTAGCGTGCGCGGAAGGCCACCAGGTGGGCATAGTAGGCTGGCGCAGGGATGGAGACTGAGCGGGTACAGCGCACATAGGTGTGGCACAACTGGTAGGTGAGCAGCTGGAACTCATCAGCGGTAAAACAATTGTCGTCCCACAGTACATGGTAGTGGGAGGGCCGACTGGTGCCCTACGAGCAGGGAAACAAATGGCACGTTTGAACAGTGATTACGTTTAATTTTACGATCCATTTTTAACTGGTATTTGTCTTAGTGGGCTCACATTAAAGAGAAAAAAGCATGTTTAGCCCCAAAGTGTCACATAACTACACTGAAAGCGATAAAATAATTATAGTTAAACATTTAAAGCTTTGACTAAAAATACAATCATTGTACCTTTACAGGAATAACAACAGCATGGTGGTGATTTAGGAGTTAAAGATTCATCCTCCACATGATGTTGCTGAAATTTGTTGTCAAAGTTCTAATTCTTCTCAGTTTTACAAATGGCAAAAGAAGAGTATAACCCTCTTTCCTGTTTACTGTAGTCAAATAAAAGATCGAAGCTCCTCGTATAACATTTTTGCCGCACCACATTTCCTAGCTACATACTGTTTTGTTCTGATTTGTTACTACTGCAATGGTGAGGATGCTCTTAATACTATAAAACTTCATCAAAACTTGTCATGAAACATTTCAATTGCCTTTTAAAGACAACTAAAAATGTCCAAAATGGTCAGAAGTGGTTCACAGAGCAGAAATAATCGTCTCTTGTGAGTGCTTTGTTCCTAAAATCCCATTTATCAGTTACATTAGAATGATGCAGAGTGTGGTGAAATAATGCTGAAAGAGGCAGAATTCTGGGCAGAGAAGACAAGAGTTTGGTCAGACCTGTATTCCAGCGTGACTGCAGAGGTAAAAGTCAAACTCGTAGGGATGCGTGATGTCCGTATCCACGGTAGTACCAGCAGGAATGTTTCCACTACGTCCAACCTGACAAAGCAAAACCAAGGTCACTCCCTACTAATGCCTTTGTTTTTTTTTTCCATTTTTCACCAAAAACACAAAGTGGAAGGAGGAAAAACAACAACGAGCAAAAGCTTTTAAAGCATTAAGAGATGTCAGGGAGTAAAAATCCTAATTATTAAAAAAAATAACTAGTTGATGGAGCGACCCGGGCGAAGGTTCACCAACCGCTTCCCAATCAACCAATTAAAAGTCTAATACCCCAGAGGGCCTAATGCTCCGTAAGAGAGTGCCTGCACTGAAAATAAGGTTGTTACTGGCTCGGTCTTACTCTGGGGGCCTTGAGTGCCACTCCAGAGCTCTTGGTGTGCATTGGGCCCTAATGCTTTAATCGAATGTAATTACAGGGGTTAGGAGGGTGAACAGTCCAATTGACAACAAAAGGTAATTAAAGAGGCCCATTTTCGGTACTTGATGTGCTAATACAGAGCATAAAAAAGAATATGGACTAACACATAACACACTGTACTGACTTTAATGGGTACCATTACGGTGTCATGGTGTGCCTGAGCCGTGTGTTTGTGTGCGGCAGAGACTCACTCTCTCGTTGCGGTCGGCACAGAAGAGGCGTGTATGGTGGCGTTTTTGCACAACAATGTAGGTGATGCCTGGCTGGTACTCCTTCTCCAGGCTGATACAGGCCTCACGGATGGCCAGCAGCTCATAATACAGCACCTGAAGAAGAGAAAGAAAAAGTCTGCTTGAAGAAAACCCTTAAAGAGCACCTGAAAAAAAGACAAATAAACTATTGTCTCCATACGCTATACAGTACAGTCGTGACTCAATAATCCGACACTAAATGTAAAACTTTCTTTTATGTCGGATAGCAAGGCTGTCGGATTGTCAAGATGGAGGTCGAGATACAAGGAGGGCTTGATGCTGGAAGGTTTTCCAGTAGGTCTACTGTGCAGTTAATCAATAAAAACATTTCTGTCATCTCTGATTAAAAAAGTAATTTTTTTAAGCTTGTACACTTATATTTAATGGGATCTACCAGTCCAAGCAAACATTCTGTTAGTATCCAGCAAAAACGCAGAAAAATAAACTCCCCAAGTGTATCATCTCTATGTAAAATATCTAGATTATGACTCGTAAGACATAAAGAAGAACATTTTCAAAAGCAAATGCTGCAGAATTTAGGATGGTATCTGGTATTAAATCCACACTCCGACTAAAACTACATTTTTTAAGTAAAATACGGAACACTTTGGAGCTGACCTGTCTGAACTGGCCTTCTGAAACTCCATCCCTGTAGAAAATGATCCTGGTGGGCTTGTAGCGGGTTGACTTGTAGAACTGGATGAGTAATTCCCGCACCATGGAGGCCAGGTCCTGGATAACCTCCTGCCTGGGCCTCTGGACTCGCACAGTGGCACAATACCTGCTGGGGTGGGCGTCCATGCTGCCTACCACCTAAAAGACAAGAGTGAGGAGGGGAAGGTGTAAGTCAAGGGGAATGATGATAGATTACAATGTGAGAGGAAACATTACAGGAGGGAGAAAGAAACATGACAAATCTCATTGAAACATTACTGTCAAGAGTGAATGGGAATGATACCAGGACAAAAATTACAAGTTGGCAAATTTAACAAATAGATGAGGTGGAAATAAAGAAAAAAAAAAACGTACTGCTGCAATTGAAGGCTTCTTCCCATCCCCGGCTGGCGGATGTGTAACATCTGCTCCCAAGAAGATAACTGGCTGCTGAAACACTGATGGTCTGTGAATCAAAAAACATAGAAAGAACATTAGCTAAGAGAAGATGTGTAACAATATACACAGTGTCATCAAACTGGTGAACAATTTAATGCATTTCAAACAAGCTTTACTAGACATGGATATGACGTATGAGAGGGAGAGCGTGGCTTACCGTTGGTGAGGCACCAGGATGTTGTTGATGCCTCCCAGCTTCACATTGATCTTGAGGCAGAGGTTGGAGAGGGTCTGAGGTGACGTCTTCACCACGTTCTTAACCTGAACACACTGCGTGGCCATGCCCAGGAGGGTGTCTCCCACACGCTTGACCTCCGCTATGAAGGGTTAAGAAAGTGAGTAAATAAAGTGAAAATCTAAGCAGTTTCAGAATTTTATACCTTTTAAAACAGTCGCACAGACCTCATAATGTTGTTCCATATTTCTCGGCAGTAAAATTTTTTTGCTTTGCTTTTTGTTTTCAAAGTTACTCATAGTTTAACAAAAACAGACAAATATGTAACTGAAGCCGACAGTATTTGCTCCATATTGAGCGCAGCGCCATCCCTCCACTGAATCACTGAGGAAGAGTAAATTGCACTCAGTCCCAGGACGGCATTAGTGTCTTAGACAGAAATGTATCTCTGTAGTCCAAGATATTATGTGTTTCTAAGCAGTTTTCTAACCGTAGACTGGAGTCTTTCCCGGCAGGATGACGATGATGAGCTGAAGTCCGGCGTAGGTGTTCTTCAGGTGTCTGAACATGGGCTCCACGCTGTCTGCTCCCTGGGCGTATTTACAGAAACATGGCTGGCCCTGGATGGGCATCCCAGCATCCTTAGAGATTTTACGAAGCTGGTCTGTGAAACCCCTGCACGAGGAAACGAAAGGGAGCAAAGGGTAAACAAGGCCTCCATTTGGAAAGCCTCAGGGCTGAGTAATCCTGCCTGAGTACTTAAAATTCCAGCTTGAACAGTTGTACTGGTATTGCATTTACCCATGTCGCTGACGGAATCCTTCTTAACTCATGTTTGACAATACAAGGTATTTAGGGTTTAGAAACTACGGATGAAAAAGCCGCTTTCGTCAAACTGACAAAGTTATTTTTTCATTATTGTGTACAGACCCAGTGGTATTAGAATGAAAAAATATACAAACACCAGCGCCATGAGAGGCTCTATTTGTTATTATCTGCAACAAACAAATGTGAATCCATGCAAATTCACAGTTTGGGAGAAAGAAATAAACAACAAAGAATAACCTAATGGGCTCATCTCTAACATCGTGGCAGCTTAACGAGGAAGGCAGACGAGACGGGGGATTTGAAGAAACATCTACCAGGACGTGTCATAAATACATTTTATGGGGGCTTAAGTGAGGATCATCACTCCTCACATTGTGACAAAAGAATCTACAGAAAGGAGTTTTTAAAACCTTACAGGAAAAAAAACAACATATTAGCAAAGGCTCTCACTTGAGGATTTCTTCCCGACACTGCCTCTGTGTGGCGAAGCAGGCAATGGCCCACATCTTGATCTCCACCCCAGTGTGGAACTGCTTCCCCCTCATGTCCCACACCCCGTGGCTGGGCGTGGCTACAGTGCGGTTCTGAAACAACATCGCAATCTCAACACATGTACTCGTGATTAAATGGGCAAACACTCGCTTTCGTACTGTCCACACAGGCTCACTCACGCTCCAACGAGTAGACAAACAAATGAGCGCACGGCCACGCACGCCTTTCGCTCGCTGCACGTCTGCACACAAATTCACACTTTGACATGAAATCACTCCAAGAAACATGCACGTGTAAACCAGAGAAAATGTAACTTTAACATCAAACAACAACAAATGGAAGATATCATCAATAAGTAACAGGAAGAGTAAAGTGGTTTTATGTGAACCTTTAATGAATTTGCTGGTGTGATGCACTGTTTTCAAGATACATATGAGGGAATTTGGTGTGTGTGTATCACATGCAGCACCAAATGTGCTATTGCGTCATATTTTTCTGTAATACACACACCCAAATTTACAGGTGTGTCTCCTCAAAGAAGATAAACAGACAGATGTTAATCAACACTGGAGTTCAGTCTCAATAAGCTGCTTGTTTAATCATTTTTTGGAAAATCTCTTTTGATATGAAGCAAAGGTTGTGCAATGTTTTTAGCTCCATCTCTTATAATAATCTACATGTAAGAAGCTTCCCAATCATGATTTGGACATTTGTTTTTGTAGCAGATGGACAAAAATGTTTCATGTCCTTTCAAAAGAACACCGTTTTTTTTAAAAGTTGGAATCAAAGGCTGCGTTATCGAGACTCAACCACAACAGCCAAAAAAGACTGACACCATGAAGTACAAACAGAAGCCGGTGAGTTAGTTCCCCCAAAGACACACTGAAATAAAAGCTTGCGGAAGGGGAGAGCGTGTCAGACAAACAGAGAGAATGGGCGTGATTTAAAGGAAGGGTACCATAAAGTGCTCTGTGCTCACCCTGCCGCCGTACTGCAGCATGGGGGCGGGTAGCACTCGCCCCGTCACGTGGGCCATCTCGTCGCGCACTTTGAACTGGAATTCCTGCACGAATGGGTCCGCCTCGTAGTTGGCACTGCGCACCTGCGGGGAGAGAGGAGGGGTGAGAGAATTAGGCACAGGGTCAGGCTGAGGTATTTCATGACTGCGTGATTTAAGGGCCTTGCAGAACTGAAAGGTTAGAGTATAGAGCACTCCTAGTCTCGTTTACCTATTCACTCATTCGTGACCCATGTGCAGGAAATCAGTCACACTGCACTTTGGGCTATATCCAAGATACAGCTTGAATTGCACATGATAAAATACTGGTTATGGCTTTATTACTTAGATCTGTCAATTTAGTTGTTTTCTACATGTAGGTAGCCTGGAATAATAATAATTGATCAGATGTATGTAGCGCTTTCTAGACACTCAAAGTCACTTTACGCTGTCAGCTATTCATTCACACACATTCATTCCAGTGGTGGTAAACTACGATTGTAGCCACAGCCGCCCTGGGGCAGACTGACAGAGGCGTGGCTGCCATTCTGCCCCTCTGACCACCACCTCAAACAATCCATTCATACGCATTCAGACCAGGCAAGGTGGGTGAATTGTCTTGCCCAAGGACACAACGACCATGACGCAGGTTACAGGGCGGAATCGAACCACCAACCTTCCGATCATTGACCAACTCGCTCTACCACCTGTCAATAGGCGCAATACGACTGATTTCGTGCAGATGGGTCACATTTATGGCTTATTTTATTTAAAGGAATACACCTCTGTCTTGTTTGTCCATTAACTATAAGGTTACAGCCAGCAGCCTGTTAGCTTAGCATAAAGATGAAGAAGGGAAAACAGCTGGCTTAGCTCAATTTGAAGGCAGCAAAATTTGACAACCACTACCTCCAAAGCCTACTATTAACACATTATATCTCATTTCTTTATAATAAAAAACTTCATTGTAAATTGGTGTAAGTATTATAAAAACATTTAAAAAGCAATGCTATCCATTTTCTACTGTTTCCAGTCGCTAGTTTTAAGAATGTTAACAGGAGCATTTCCCAAGTTCTTTGCGAGCTCCAACCAAACTCAGCTTCCTGTCCTGTCGTTGTTGTTTATGTTTACCATGGTGTGAAGCTGTAACCGTTTTTTACAGTGTAGGATTGTATATAATGCTGGTGCATAGGAAAAACGGAACGGTAAATTCCTGAAATGTCACAAAATGTCAGGCATCAGCACCCTACTCTAAAATAACTTCAATCATACAGGGTACATCATCACCTGAGCTGGCACGGTACCCAGATGTATTACAGAGTGTATTATGTACTTCTGACAGACACAGCTTATCAGCTTGTGTTGTCCTTTCGTGACTTTCAATCTCTGCTGTTCCACCCACATTTCTCCGCCAGTTTCAAGTAATGGGTGCTTCTAAATGAAAACACCAGCACAGCGATGTCTGCAATGATTTCCTGCATGCAACTCCAGTCATTTTAGCCCCAGAGTGAGCAGATAAGGAGACGTGGTTTAATAAGGCAACAACAGGTATTAAATGGGCATCGCTAATCTGATGGTGGCCAGAGGCAGCGAGTTTACAGTCTGTCAGTCTGTCCATAAACAAAAAGATGCAGACGCTGCAGTAGCTTCGCATTAAACCCATTATGGCTGTGGCATGTTGTTGACCCGAAGTACGTCTGCGCTGTAATTGCCAAATGTGACGGAGAAGCGTGCAGACATGCCTCTGTTAACAATATAAAATGAGAATGTGGGTGAGGTGATTATAAAACCAGTAATCTGATATGAAGACGAGCAGTACAACACACCACAGGCAAAATGTTGACAAGAATAGCAACATGGGATTTTTACAGAATTGTTACCCACTACAGTTAAAATATTCAATCAGGTCGATCATTTTAAACTATATAATTAGTGTATATTACAAATCCTTTATGTGATTCTTCCCCTGAATTCTGCATCCTCTGTGTCATTATGTCTTCAACCTTAAGTGATGTAAATGTCAACTATAGTTTAACTAGATTGGATGATTAATTTTCAAGTGCATATTACTTCAAAAACAAATATTTAGAATCCAAGTAAATAAACATCACTGTGGATTCTTTTAACTTTAGTAATACAACACATCTAACAAAGATAATTCCTTTTTATTCTAGTATTTAAACACTGTACCAGCGATATGAACCCTTGATTTGTGTCCAGTACTCACCAGCCTGCTGATCTCCTCTTGTCTGTCAGGTGCAGAACGAGCTGTGGCTTTGATCATCGTGGAGGTCTGATTATCTGTCAGCTTCTTAATGCACCGTTGACCGGCTACAATGTTACACACCTGAAAGGAAACAAAAGTTTGAACAAGCGTATATATATATATTTTTTTATCTTAGTACTTGTTAAGCAGAAGATGATTTCTTGTGCACACTTGAGCTCTTTCTCCAGCTGCTCTGCATCTATTTATAGAGCTGATACAGAAGCACACCTGCGAGCTGCCCAACAGACCACACACTGCAGATTTAATCATACTCGACATATGGTTAATGTCAGCCGCCATAACGGAGTGGAACAGCATCTTGTTGTCTCTCACCTCCAGAGGCAGGTAGGTGTGCTTTTGCTCCTGGCCCACCTGTAGACAGGGCAAATGTGGGTACTTGAGCTGCAGGTTGTACTTCTCCCTGAAGTACTGGGCTACAGTACGCTCTACAGTCTGACCGTTTTCCAACTGTAGCGGGAACCTGCAGAGGAAAAAAAAAAACAACCACAGTATGTTAAATCAAGAGGTCACTGGAGGCCACTATATTAAACGTCTGTAGCTCATCAGAACTGATCGAGGCATATTTGAGTGGATGTACACTATCTCAAGCCCACCCACAGTGCAATGGTTTATAATTTCTTTTTTGTTTGTTTTACATGTTAAAATATAAATGGGAAGTTGGGATGCAAGCTGCTTCTTTCACAATGCAAAGCTAATGTTTTGCACATCTTATGTAACAAAGAATAGGTTTGCTGATTGTAATATACCATAAGTGTAGCTACATTTGTCAGGAATATATAATTACAGTCTTGACTCGATAATCCGACACTAAATGTAAAACCTTCTTTTATGTCAGATAGCAAGGCTGTCGGATTGTCAAGACGGAGGTCGAGATACAAGGAGGGCTTGATGGTCATTTGTTGTTAATTATTGTTCAAAGTTGTTATAATAACTAGTAGGGCTGGTCTGAATAACACTTTCTGGTCTCCGGATATTCCGGCCCAATTAATGATGAATATCAGAATATTCGGCGCAGTCGGGGGACACTTCCACCCCAGGGGTGCGCTCTGATGGGCTGGAAGTGGCTGGAATACACAGGCAGTACTTGGCTGCTGATGCCGGTTTAGGATAGCGGTCACATTTCTGTTTCCACCTTTGGTGCTGCCACCACCATCCATCTTCCATAAACACTGAGCACGCTCGCTGCGTGTGACGTCGTTGTGTCGTCTTCTGTGCATGCGGGACACTTTTGGGTCGTATGAAGTTCACACAGCAGATCACATACAAGTCGCATTTAATTGGAAATGTGAATGAACTCACACAAAAATTGGATTTCACAAAAAAATCCAAACTGAGCATTACGTCCTGCAGTGTGAACGCAGCCAATCTGTGGGATTGTTCAGTCAGATAATACGCCATTACCCTTACTTGTGACATAAAACGTCATGTCAGAGTCGGAATCCAAGGCTGTCAGTATGATAAGGCTGTTTTTCATGGGCTCTGTTTGTTTTTCAAAAAAACCTGTCGGATAGCAAAGTTTTCAGATTGTTAAGGGTCAGATTATCAATTCACGACTGTAATTGCATTTTTTATGTTTCATGTGTTAAAACATAAATGGAAGTGGGGATGCAAGTTGTTTCTTTTACAATGCAAAGCTAATGTTTTGCACATTATGTAACTAGGAATATGTTTGCTGACTGTAATATACCATAAGTGTAGCTACATTTGTCAGGAATATATAAATATGAGGTTAAAACTTCGTATTGCAAGACACATAATCAGAGTGGGGGCAAAAGAAAAGGACCGGGATGATGACGAAGTGACTTTTTGCCTGCACACATATTTACATCACGTATAAGACGGATCTGTGTAAAACAGACCACAAATGTGCACTTGACAACTGGATCAATTAATGATAGTTAAAAAGTAACTTATCCAGCCAGTACTACATAATACAATTCTACGCTGATAGACTGAAGATCAGCAACCACACAGCCACTTCACCGACAGATGACTAACGCTGACTGCATGGTTGTCGGATGAGTCAGCCATTATCTGGTTTGTTTGGTGCTGAATTGGTGATCGCATCCTCTTTGGTGCGCCTTCCCTTCCCCCCCCACTATCCCATCCACACACTTCGCCCAGAGTCTCCGGTTCCCTCGCCCGCCCGGAGGCTGACTCACGTTTGATGGCTGGCAGGCCGACGGGTCACGTTGCAGACACGGTACTTCCTCCGCATGGTTCCACAGTGCGTCACCTCCACCTTCAAACCTGGTGAATAATATAACGTGTTGGAGTAGCAGTAAGAATGTGTTTGTGTGTGTGTGTGTGAATGGCTGTGAAATGTTCTCTCCCTGTTGCTGCTCAAACTGTTTTCCTTTGCCCACGCACACTTTTATTCATCTAATTTAACCCCATCTCTTATGTGCAGGCACCACCTTCCACCGCGGGCTTCACCTTTGATTTCTTTGGTGAATTTGACCCGGTGTGAGTCTGTGAGAGGACGAGGCTGCTCATCTATGTTGTGGATATCCAGCACTTCACACATGAACTGGATGACTGGCTGGGCTTTGTAGAAGGCTGTGGCAGACACTGAAAGGCAAAGCAGAAACATCACGTCATTTGGGACACAAACAAAAGGTGATGCATGAATACCAGATGAGTTTCAACACAGGGACAGAATATAGGTTCTTGCAGGTATGTCACATGTGTGCTAGTACGACCAAAAATGCTAAATAAATGCAGCAGAAAACCTGTTTGAACACAGGAAATGCAATTCATGCAGCAGCAGATGTTCAGATCCTCTAAATTGGCAGGTTCTGTTATTTTCAGATACAATGCTTCCTCTCAGTATAAGCACATTAAAATACGATAGGCGAGATGACAAAGCAAGGTGTAAGGCATCGGGAGACGTTAAAATTTAGAGGAAAAAAAGCTATGAAAACACGAATGCAAGAAATAAGAAATCCAAAAATGGACAGATAGATGGGGAGAGTGCAGCGGTGAGGTGGAGGAAGTTGTTGACGAGCGATCTGGCTCAGCTGCTGTGATGTAAAAAAAAAGTCCTCTGAAAGCATTGCAAACGCACATCTGTGAGTGACGCTGCAACACGAAGGCAGACGGCATTGTAGAAGCGGTGTCTACGTGAGGCTCGGACAGCCTTTCATCACAGACAGGAAGTGACGTTGCTCCTCATTGTGTTCCCCACGCATTACGTTGTCATTTCTGTGCATGTAAAAACCGTCTGAGTCACTCATGTAAATGTGAAATTTAAAAAGGTTTCGTTTCTCCATAATTACAATTGCTCGATATACACACTTTTCATTACACATGATACGGAGCGTGGGAGGCGGTGTTTGTTGCCTTCATGCTTAAGTATTTAGATAGGTTCACTCGGCCGCTTTGCCGGCGCACAATGTCGTGCTGATTGCTGTGCAAACAGTTTTTGAGTTCTACTTTGCTGATGGAGGGAGACTTGAGGCGCTCGTCGGATTTCCAAAGGACGAGAGGGCGGGAAAAGGAGACAAAGAGAAAATCTGAGAGTAGAGAGAGGCAAAGAGACAGAGGCTTCAAGCGCTCGGAGAAAAACAAAAGCCATCTCAAGGAAATACTCCACACAGCTACCCTCCTGACCTCAGCAACACCCACCAGTCTCACTCATGCAGGCACAACTAACACACAAGCTGCCCCCTTGTCTCCACAGCAACAAACCAGTCAGTTCCCATCCAGCCAGAAGCCCACCTTCCTCCATGTTCCTTAAACACACTCTCTCTCTCACACACACTCCCTCTCTCTCCTGTCAGCAGCAGAGGCTTGTTCTCCAACAGCCTCCTGCAGCGTGCATATGGCAGAAACACATTCTCAACCACCCTTTCTGTCACGTATTTTCCACAAATAATAACAGTTGGAAATGGTAGTGCACTATGTAAATAAAGAGATCCCCTACTGGAGACGGTTACCAAACTAGATCTTGAACCGTCCTCTTCTCTTCCAAACAACCAGTTCTCATCCAGCAGAACTGACTCAGTTCTGACAAATTAAAAACAAAAAGCAATTATATCTGAGAGTTTCACTCTTCGGCTGCTTCTTAAAATTACCTAGTTCCCCCAGCACACCACCAAAACATGAGCTTGTAAAAGCCGTGAGAGTCCTGCAGATCCAGTGACACAGCCTGAGTGACAATGTCTAGTTAGATTTATGTTAAATACAGCTATTCAATTTCCTCTAACAAAACATCTCAAAAAGTAAATTGATCATGTGCAAATCTCTAAAAATAGCCTGTATCATGGCGGCTCCATGTCATTCTAATCTATCTGCTTAATTATTAAAATCTAATTTCCCCGGCCGCAAAAGAGGAACAGCAAAATCAATTTCTGTGTGACTGTACACAAGAGGACATTTTTATTTTCTGTTTATAAAACAAAGATCGAATTACAGAGTCCTGTGCATATTTCAGTACTTTTTAAATATGGACAGTTTTATTTACATCATATACTTCTCACAGCTTTGTCAGGCAACAAGCAATTAAAAATGAAAGCAAAGGTAAACAGTGGAGTTTGTTCCTTACCATCAATGTTAAGCATCATCTTCCACATGGCAGGGCGCACGGATTGGTGGAAGCCAAACCAAACCTCTCTCCCGCCTCCCAGAGGATGGTCGTAGCCCTCTGGAGCTGAGAAGAAGGATCGACCTACTGGAGTGTACCTAGACAGAGAGAAAATAGCAAATGAGGTGAGTGAATGAAAGAAAATGGGGTGTTGAAATTGAAAAAGTAGTAGAACAAGGGGTACGCTCAAAAAAAGGGTACAGAGGATGACAGTAAATGTATTAGTTGACACATCCTGAACTGAGAATGTAGGTCAGTCAGTATGTGTTGATACGGTGTCACAGGCAGCTGCTCTTAAACAGTAGAGTGAAATGAGAGGGTGGTGACACTGCCGGCACCCATCGGCTTCTCATTATTCTGTCCAAAAGACACATTACCGATTGTAAAACATTTTTCTGAGTGAATCCTACACAGACAATGTGTCAAATGTGACAACGTGGGCTCCCAGCTCCTGTGAGCAGAGCTAAATGAAAGGTGTCGATATAACCGCTTTTTAATAATGCCGTGGAAGAGACTTTCATTAAAGCTCTGGCAATATTGTGTTCGGCGTGCTGAACCTGAAGAAACAGATATTGAGGGGAAGGTAGTATGGCGCATTTTGAGCGACCGTGTGAGCTGTGTTTGATTTCCGCTGGGATAAGAGTGCTGATATTGGTGCCACGATGACAACACAAACATTTACTGTGAGTATCGAAGGAATCCATTTTACAATGTGTTTGATTTTTTCATCTTTTGATTGAATGCTTGGTGACTGAAGATGGAGGTGGGGAAATTCAGGAAGGATAAACAGGAGGTTTATTTGCGAGAAATTTCATTCTTTAATTTTATCTGCTAATGACTAAAAAATAAAAATAATGATCTAGTTAAGGCCCTGGCTGACATCGAAGGTGTGAATGAATCGTTATGAAAAAAAGAAAGCCATCAGCAGCTCACTTCATGGAGGGCAGGTGTCGCAGCACTACGTCTACTGCGTGTACAGGGTTGGTGCTGATGGGCTTGTCCAACTCAAGGGGCTCAGGCATGCTGCGTCCAGTCAGCACCTCGTGGAGCATGTGCCAGCTGACCAGAGACACAAACTTGATGGAAACTTTGAAGGGTCGATCCTTCCCTCCCTCACCAGGAAGAGTGACATCCAGGTCCACCTGTGGGGCGACACAAGAGGAGTGAAGACACTCTTGAATCAGTGAAAGTACTTTTCAAGTAGTAAGTGGATTACAGTATTTCTCACTTAAGGAGATAATGAACAGTTGTGACTGTGTCTGTGTGCATGGACGTGGTTTAGAAGATACAACACTGTTCTCTTACAGCCCTTCATGTGTAATAACATCATGTTTAATGCTGGTCTTTCACCCAATAACATTTTTTACTGCAGTAACAGAATTAAGATAAGATAAGATAATATATGTGTATGTGATTGTGGGTACATTATCCTCCATGTGTGTTCATATCCATATGTAGATTCATCTGTCTGGCATATTGCCTCTATGAGAACTTTACTATTATATCTTATATTTCTTAGCCCTATGCACTTTTGTAATTTCTTCTCCTACGTCTTTCATGCCTTATCTGTATCAAGCTGCTGCAACGTGTGAATTTCCCCAGTGAGGGAACAATAAAGTTTATCTTATCTTATACTGAGGTTGTGCTAAAAACAAAAGTTCATTCAATTAATTTGCGTCTTTGTTTCCGGCTTACCCCCGTGGGTGCCACAGGCAGTGGGTTGGCTGTGTACAGGCTTTTCTTTCCATCATAGACTGGCCTGCGATCCCCAAAGATTGTCACCTTGAAGTGCTGCACCATAGAGTCAACCACCTCCCTGCACGACACACAACAGATGTTTAGTTGCATTGGAGCTCAGAAAATACTGACGTGTTTCAGAAAGAATGTTTAAGCTGTCAAATCAACAATCAAACAATTAATGAGGTCATCCATGTATCAAAGGTCTAATGTGTTGATTAACAGCCAACTATTCCTCATCAAGTCACTGTAATCTTAATATCTCTCAATATTACATATCGCCCATTTCTAATGTAATGTTATTATGTTTGAGGAAGGCAGAGGAGAGGTTTTACAGCCAGCAGCCAGAGGGTCCGTCCTACCTGTTGACTCGCCGTGGGCACTTGTCAGGCTTGATGTCCACCTCGTAGAGGTAGACATCCATCTTGGGGATCTCCACCTGGAAGCAGTTGGCCAGCAGCTTGATTGGCTTCCCCATGGTGCCATAGCCAGGCCGCCGAGGCATGGAGAACAGGGACTGGGCCCCAACGGCTCCTACGAGGAAAACAAGGAGGGAAGGATGAAACGAAAGGAAAAAAAGACAGTTTAGTGTAGCTCTGGAGGATGAGGACAAAAAATAAAATAAAATAAAAAATAGCCAATACATCAGCATTCTGACACTGAATGGTATCAGATCACCACAGACACAGTATTATAGTACAAACACCTCTTCTCTGTTTTGTATTTAAATTTTAAGTTTCAGTAAGTTTGCTGTTTAAATGCATATGTTGCATCATCCTACCAGAGTAGAAATAAAAATTTAACCCTAAAAAAAAAAAAAAAAAAAAAAAAACAGACAAGACCTAGTGACAAAAAAAGGAATGCTGAATGACTTAAAAAGGTACTGTACTGTTTTTCAATTCTCTGCCAGTGCTTTGTTAGAACTAGATGGTAAAACGCACACTCATATTGTGACAAGATTGTCTGACGGTGGATAAAAACAAACACTGAATCTACAAATGTCAGGATAAGTGGTGTAAAGGAGAAACACCAAAATAAACACGGTCACATATCTATGCAACACTGACGATAAACTTGATCTGACTTATTGAGAAGAGTTCAGAGAGGATGCATCGGGAGGAAAAGTCAGTTTCAGAATGAATAACAAATGATCGTGATTAATAAAAACCCCACACGTACACAACATAGTAAAGGCTTTGTTTTGTGTTTAGGCGTTTCATGGAAAACCAACTCTAAGAACAAACAGCTGCACACATGAGGGGACTCAGGTGTGTTTGAATCATGTGATACACCACATCTAAATCAGGCAGTGCAACAACTGTGTCAGCCAAATAATGGCATAAACCTTTTCGTAGACGCATATCGAAAAAAAAAAGAATTTCCCATGAAAATTAAGTTAAAAATGATAAAAGATAAAAACAAGTTAAAGGTTAATGCATTTCGTCTAAAATAAAAAAAACAAACTTGTTCCTGGAATTGTTCTCCAACAATACAAGACGACATTATTAGTGAACGGCAGCAATAACGCAACAGAAACTGTGCTAGGAAATCGCCTTTTATACGACACATTGGTTCTACTCAAACTAAGTACTGCAACTGCACTCGCACAAAGGCCGAGAGATGTTTTAGACGTGAGTCACTTTGATCCAGAAACAGTGAGCTCTGTTCAACTTAATGTGTCACACTCATGTCAGGGCTATTTTTGGGTCTGCTTAGGCTTGCCTTCCACATCACGCTTGAGAAAACAAACGGTTTCGCCGACGTGCCAATACAACGTTTGGATTCAGCTCGTGATGCTATTGTGCATTCTGACACAGCTGCTTTGACACAAAAACTCCTGGTTTGTGTATTTTTGTTTATGCCCCAACTTTCAACCCACATGGCCTTTTTTTCTTTCCCCCAACTTCACTTTCAGTCTATCAAAAAAAAAAATGTTCCTAATGTGTCATTGATAAATGAGAGTCATGCTTCGGTGTGATTCATCACCGATTTGACTCATAGGTCCACATGTGTGGGTGATTCTGGGGTTGAGGGCCCTGCTGAAGGGAAGTTTAAAAAAAAAAAAAGAAACTCCCCACAACAGAACAGAAACCTCCTGTGACTTCTTCGCAGACAACATGAGCTTGTTTATTTACAGTTGGAAGTTAGTGCTTTCTGCCCCGCTCCATTTTTTCGGTTACTCCTCTGGTGGGCTGTGGACGGTGAAGGGCCCTTGTTTGAAACAGCCAGCTTGGATAAAATGCTGAAAAGAGAGGAAAGTCTGGAATTCCTGCCACGGCTGTCACTCTCACACAAAGCCATGTGCACACAAACTTTGTCATGGTAATTTCCCCTGGGGGCCCTTGGTGAAACTTGTGAGGTAAGTCCAATTTCACACATACGAGTGACAAAGAGAAGGAAGGCTGATATTATGGTAAGTCTTCATTAGAGCTAAAGAAAAAGGGGGGTGTCTGCTACAGATTAAGAGGTGGTCAGAGTCAGTCGATTTCAGGACAGGACTCGCTCAAGACACTCCTATTCTGTGCTGTGATGGTCCTGGGGAGAAGTTGGCGAGCAGGACAAGGATAGCAGGGAGTGGCAGGATTATAGAGTGGGCAGAGTTGGTGTTTTCCAACTTTCATCTGCCTCTTGGAACTGGCTTCCATTCAGCGTGAGTCAGAGAAGCACCACAGGAAGAGAAACACACATGTGAGCATCCTGCTTCTGGACTCAGCAGTGGATGAGCTACAGCAGCAGTGATGGAGTCCTTACAGCAAAGAAAAGGAAAAAGCACACTCACACGCATACCCCACACTGGAGTAAGTTCTGGTATTCCACCCACTAGAACACACACACACACACACACACACACACACACTTAGTTTGTTTCCGTCTGAAAACCACACAGAGAGACGTACAGTAATTTGTAGTTGTGGTGATGCACAGACATGCCGGAAGAATGGGCTTTTATTTCCCATATTACACAGCCAGTTGCTATTTTTGGCATTTTTGCACAAGCAGATGCATTTCTGGGTGGTTTTCCAAACCAGAGACAAAGCAATAAACTTCCACTTTCAAACAAATAAACTGCTCCTGACACAGCAAGTGCAATCTCTGAGGCCAAACTTCCAAAAAAAAAAACGTTGCACCAACTAATCTACCCATCCTGTGTGTTTGGATGGTTAGAATCTGACAAGATGCAAACAGGCATCAAAACAAACAAGTTGTGCAGCTCTAATCAAAACGCCAGCATTGTCGCCTTGGTATTTGGCGAGCCCTCCTCTGCATTCTTTGGCTTCCTGCTGATGAAATCTTGGGATATTTAGCTTTCCTGTGTAAGGATGGATACTGCCAGACAATTAATAGTTCTTCAGGAACCAGCTCTCTATTTGATGAAAAGGAAATTGAATGACTTTCTTCATTTTACGTCGTAAAGTCTGATTTCGACCCCAGAATACGACGGCCATCACAAAACATTCAGCTTAAGAAACTTTGGCCGCAGCGTTCATCTGCAGTGATTTCTTCTTGCTACGAACGCAGATGGGACCTTATAACATCACGCACATGCTGAGAAAAAAATCCAACAGGCATGTGACACAGATGTGTTTTCCAGAATTTTCTGAATAGCCAACCTGACCCTGATCATTCAGCGACGCATCAGATACCGTCCCCACAATCTGCCTTTCTTCCTTTACAAACAGACATAACAGACATCCACTGAAGAGGTCTCAGAGGGAAGTTTAACCGTCGTGTCTGGGAGAACAGCGCACTCCAGTCTCAAGCTTCTGCACATTTATTTAAGTTACCTTGTAATGCAAGAGAGGCAGCTTGTCTACAAATTACTACGAAATGTTCAAGACATGTAAGCGATGTTACTGTGATGACTGAGACCTCGGCGGTGGAAATGATCCCTCTCAGGGTTTGCTAAGCTTGTGTGGAAGTTGTGTAAACATGCAAACATGCTTGCGAGAGTTTTACAGGAACATGAAAATTCAGGACAAAAACTGCGAAACGATGACCTCTGCCGCCGATAGACGACTGGTTATATTTGCCTATGACAAATAGTGAAAGCACAACCATAAATCCACACATTAAATGCTCACTGAGTCTTTGTATAGCAAGTGTAAGGGTGCAAGGAAACTTTCCCTTGGTTGAGTTGAAAAATGCTGTACTGTGTGTGTGAGTGTGTGTGTGTACTTTTAGATAATTACAGGAAGGACGTGCCGTAACAAACAGAAGAGAATAGACTGAATCCTCCCCTTGTCTATCAGTATGTTCTCATTCCTTGAGCCTGTAAATCCACATAATAAAAGCTGACAGAAAGGATTGTAAAGACGCTAAAAATCTGTAGAAATGTGTGGATGAAGAGCGTCATTGAAGCTCTGGATCGGCTGCATCTTGCAGCAAGAGAAGTTGCCTTTGTTAGCCTCTATAGAACAATTTTGAATTAATTTTATGAATGCATAATTTATTCTATTACCTCGGTGTAGTGATGGATCATCATTTCACACAATTCCATAAGATACATCAGCATTTTAATTCTGATTTGATTCTGTTCACTCTGAGGAATTGCTTTAAATGAAAAATGTTTTGTTATTCCTTTTTATATATTGCCAGTGAAAAAGACAACCTTACAGAGAGTTCTACACATAACATATAGACCCAGATGAAATTGGTAATAACAAAGAAATTATCGGTTAACATTTGAGATGAACAATCACAGGTAAAGCAGTCTGAGTTAATTTGCTATAAACG